AAGAAGCTGGTTGGAGAAAGACTTCGCTGACTTTGCAGGGAAAGAGAAGCACAGTTCCCAGGAACATGCGAGGCTTCTGGACACCCAGCACCCGAGTCTCTAAGTTGATGCAGTGTTAAGTGTTCATTGCCTCATACAGCACAGGATGCTCGTGCCAGCTCTGAACATCTTCAGTAACCGGAGACATTAACCAACGGCCAAACTGAAAATGTTTTAAAACGGTGTGAAGAATGTTGCCAAACAATAGAGAGGCTCAATCAACTGGGGGGAAAAATGAAAGAAAAGTAATTCCCCTTTTTAAACATTCTTTTTATTGTTTCTGTTCTGAGATATATTTTATTGCCTTTGTTATGAGAACAAAGTATGCTGCTGTAATAAAGTAGTGAAAAGAGTATTGAGGACACCATAGTTCCAGGGAGTTCCGGGTCATGAACTCTAACCTACTGCTACTGGCCTTCATCCCAGTACACTCAACTTCTTCCTCTGACAGGATGGAAACAAGCCTCTCTGTCCCTGAAGGATCCAATTATTAGTTTCTAAATTCTCAAACCTGAGGCAGGCAAAGGACAGCAGGAGCCTCCAGAAAGAGCCTAGTGGAAGCAGGCTGACATACTGACCTCCCAACTCTGTCTTGAACTATCTTGAGTCCTAGACTCTTTGTGCAGCCATGAAGTAAACGAATGTGGAATGAATGAGCAAATGTGGGCATTATTTTAATACATGTGTGTTTAGTGCTCAGTTTTTCATAAAGATGTTATTTCTATGTCCAGGAGAAGGAACTAAGATCTTGCTTACGACTCTTGACAACAGCTAACCTGAGTATGACTTGATCTCCTGCCTGCAGCCTCCTCTTTCTGACAAGATGCTTCTGTTCTGCTCCACAGAATTATCTACAACCACCATGAAGTGGAGCTGGGCTTTATCAGTGTATGTCCCTCCCCGCCCTGTCCTAGGACTCTAACGTTCTGCTTAATCCCGAGAACAGCAGCTTCTGTGCGTGCCAAGGAGAGATACTTTATCCCTGGGATTGGTCTAAGGGCAGAAACTCCACTGCAGCCATCATTCTAAGCATTAGTAATCCAGAAGGCCTTAATTATAAAATACTGGTCATCGCTCATCAGTTCCTACTCTCTTCCCTCCCAGGCCTAATATAATCTCTTCATGAATTTGCCAACTGTGGGCATTTTATGTAAGTGGTAACCTATCACACAGTACTTAGTCTTCTGTGACTGGGCCACTACACCAGACACATTGCTTACACAGTTAATCCAACTGACACAGAACTCTTCATCCTTCTGATGGCTGAATAATGTTCCCTTCATGTGTACATTGCATCTTGTCTATTCGTTTCTCTGTTGATGGGTACATGTGGATGTTTCTCCTTTGGGATATTGTAAATAGTGGGGCTACAGACATTTGAGTACAAGTATCTGTTTCAGTTGCTGCTTTCAGTTCTTTGGAAATATTCTATACATTGCTTCTTAAGATATGGCCAAGGTGTATTTCACAGTGAAAGTACTATTTAATATCCTAACATATCAGGTCTTCAATTCCTCCACATCTTCATCAGCACTAGTGATTCATTTTTTCTTTCTGACGTTCATCAAGGGGTATCTCCTTGGGGTTTTGAATAGCATCTTTTCATATATATTTCTCAGATAATATTTATTTACTTTTTTCATTTAATATTGAGTTGTCATGCCTAGCATTGTATCACACACCTTGAATCCAATACTCAGGAGGCACAGGAAGGTGGATTTCTATGAGCTCAAGGCCAGCCTTGTCTACATAGCAAGTTCCAGGCCAGTAAAGGCTAACAGTGAGATTCAAAAATCCAAAAATAAATAAATAGACTTATTTTTATGGCTTCAAAAATTCAATCAATCATTTTATCAATGTGGTGTATTGCAATAATTTTTACATATGAACAGCTCTTAAAAATCTTCGCTAGAGTTCATTGAATAACACATTAACGGTACACAATCTATTTATCGTGAGCAGAATCGTACACTTCCTGGCCTATTGGGGAGAAGGTTTGCACTTCCACTCACAAGGGTATTAGTCTGAAGTTGTGAAGTTCTTGCCTTTTTCGTTGGGGTAATGCTGGTCTCATCAATGAGTTAGGAAGAGTTCTTCCCTCGCCTGCAAGTGCTTGGGAAGGAAAGTACTGACTCTTTCCTTTCTGTTGGACAGACGACGCCAATGAAGTCACCTTGTCCTGGGCTTCTCTGGGGAGGTTTCTCATTGCTGATTCTATCTTCGTGCTTGAAACTGGTCTATTCAGACTGCTGCTTTCTTCTTGAAGCCGCTTTAGTTTGTGAGCTTCTACAAACTGCTCCATTTACCTATACTAAGTTACATAACTTTGTGGGACACAGCTGCTCATAATAGTTTCTTAGAATCATTTTGTCCTTGTGAAGTGTTAAATTACCTCAAGTTATCATGTTATCTGAGTGCTTGCTCTTTTTTTCTTAATTGACCTAAGGATTTTTGATTTTGTTGATCTTTTCAAAGAACCACCTTTTTTATTTTATTGACTATCTGTGCTATCTTTCTAGTTTCAACTTAGGCTTCTTCTAAATCCTTTTTTACTTTGCCTTCATGACTCTCAGTTCAAGTGATTGTCAAAGAGCCAACAATTATTTTTTTCTCAAATGACTAAAACCATAAGAAGAAATATATGTCTCCAGTGTCATCAGGCAAAGAATAGTTTGTGTTGTTACATTTTCTGTTTAATATTTGTGAACATTGTATCAATTATAACATTCTTATAAAGACATTTATTTTAAAAAAGGCAGCCATTAAGGAAATCACCTAGATCAAATGTTAAGGACATTTTCCAAACTGAACTTCTACAAGGCTAAAGGAGGGCTCAGCCATTTAGAGCAGTTGTTGCTCTTGCAAAGAACCTGGGTTTGATTCCCAGCACCCACGTAGCTACAACCTTCTGTAACTCCAGTTCTAGAGGATCCGACCACCCTCTTCTGAACTCAGCAGACACCAGGCATGCATGTAGTACACATACATGCGTGCTGGCAAAATGTTTATACCCATAAAATAAATAGATAAAGCTTAAGAAGTTAAAATAGCTAAGAAAGAGAACACTACAGAGTTCTTAGATGTTTGCAGGAAGAACTGAAATCAGCGCTCTCACTTGTAGGTCACCACGTTATCGGAAGACATACCAGGCTGCAGAACACAAGCCCAGTGAGGACTTTCCATTATGTTATAAACACTGATCTCTCACTTGCGAGAATAGCACGGGTATTGCTGTAAGGTAGCTCCTGCAACCCTTCCGCAAGGCGTGGCGCACGTGTAGACTACCTTCTAAAGGTTCTGTGCTAAGAATGGGCTTCTGTTTGGTTTTCATTTGCATCCCCTGCTTAGCTTCTACATTTCATCCTGCCTCCAGGTGTCCTGACCCTGCTCACCTCCAACACACATCTCATCTTACTCACCTACCTTCGAACCTGCTCACTACCTCCCACACTCCACAGCCATGGTATGGAGACCCAAGATTACACAGAGCCAAGGAAGTAGCATTAGAATATAACAATCTGTGATTCTTCTATTGCCCTTAATAAGTGATTTCAGCAAAACCAAGCAACGCTTGAGAGCAACTTCAAACATGCAAGAAGGAAGAAAAGGTCTGGAGAGAAGAAAAGTGGCTCCACTTCCTTTGATTACATTCTATAACGAATGTAACGTAATCCTTGTTGGGCAACTTCAGAAAAGGCATGTGAATTCTGATTCTGCATTCACAACCTTCTACCAGTGTTAGTCTGCAACATCATGAGATAGCTGGGAAGATAAAATGAGTAACTCTACTACAAGCTATATTTCCATATTACAGCTTTTCACACTGCCCATTTCTCTCTTTGTTTCTTTTCTTTTCTTTTTTAAATTTCTTCTCTTCTCTGTGGGATGGATGATCCAGAGCTTGAACGGAGCAAGCCGGTCTCAGATTTTGCAAATCCACATTTTTTTCTGCCTTCAATTCTTATGTGTCCAAGAACAAGGAGCCAAAAACAGGCCTTTGCAGGAGGATCCATTTCTCTTTTCATTCATTTTTATACACACACCTAACACACAAATAATTAACCCACCTTTTCACCAAAGAATTGCTGAGAATATATTTACTGTATGATAGAAGGATTGTTTTTTACTAGCTTCCCGTATTAGGGTATTAACGAATTTTTACCAGCCCTGCCTTATCTCTTACAGCACAGAATCAGACAAGGGGAAAGGTAACATGTGGGAATAAAGGCTATTGCTATGGAACCATTATGTGTGCTTTCATGGATAGTAAACTGTCTTGTTTAGTAAGGTGGCTGCCACAATGTGTATAGCACTTAGGGACCTATATTGTCTTCTGACTTAGGTACTGTTTGACATTTAATATTTGTTGATATATCAAAGACAGACAACCAATTCAATCCAAGCAAAAATCTTTTCCTTCTACAACAAACAAACAAACAAAAGACAAAACTAAAATTGACCATGGAGGTTATATAAAGGGACATTCAAAGACTAAATTTAAAAAAAAAAAAACCTGCCTTCCTACAAAAGAACTAACAAAATAGAATGACTATGACCTAAGGGTGTGAAAAGACTTTGTATTTTAGAAAACTAACACTGCACAAAAGATGCTAATATAATCATGACCATGTATTTTGTTCTTCAGTCAAGGTTTTTGTTTGTTTCTTCGAGACAGGGTTTCTCTGTGTAGCCTTGGCTGTTACGGAGCTTGCTCTGTCAACCAGGTTGGCCTTGAACTCATGAGATCCACCTGCCTCTGCCTCCCAAATGCTGGGATTAAAGGAACGCACTGCCACAGACAAGACAAGTAGGGTTTGGAAACTCGTTATTTATCTCTGTGAAGTGATACCAATTTACTTTGAGTATATGAGACTTCCGGAAGAAATTATGTTGCTACACAGCAATGCAAACATCACTAGAAAAGGACCAGTAAATGTATAGCAGTTGTTTCATCCATTAAATGGGGAGAAACACATGATCCAATGAATATTAGTAACTTAAACCTATCAGAATTTTGGTTTGTGCATGATTTAGAACTAAGTTTTAATAAAAAGAAAGATATTAGCATAATATCTTAAGACATGTCAGGACACCAGAGGTACAGCTTTGTCAATTCAAGCAGGGCCATGCTTATGTGTAGGTTAGTAGAATTCTCTACATGAGCTAAACACAATTCCAACTCATTCAATGCAGGTAGGTTAGGGAACAAACTGTGGCTAACTGCTGTTGTTGAGCAAACGTATCTTAGAGTCTGCAGCACTGGTGACCTGAAGAGCCTGTACAATTGAGCAAGTTGAAAGAAATGCTACCAATGCAAGGATCCCTACAGCCCCGTCCATTTTACATCATCTAGTCTCCAGCTGTTTACTGAGGTGAAAAGCAAGCGGACATTAAACCAACAACTGGAAAAAGTAGAAAGAGGACTGATACAACCGGAGGGCGGTAAGATAAGGAAGCGGCAGCTTTCCTGGCAAAGGCATGAAGTCAGTTGCTTAATGTTGCCGTGCGATAATAAGTATCTATGAAAAATGACCATCTGTCAGTCCACCTGACTAGGGGAGAAGTGGAAATAAGAAGTTTAAATGCTGCCTAGAAGAAATAACTGATAATAGGGTGGAGCAGGAGTCCACACAGTTTTCGCTAACTGTCTCATTTAACTTTTCAGTCTCACGTCGTAGGTGCTATTGGGTGCAGTGGTATGGATAGTCACCTCTTAATAGGCGGGACGAAGAAGCAGAAGAGTTTAACTTAAGATCTTGTAAACAATGAAGTTTGATTTTAAGGTTAGAAAGCCTACCATCAGAATCTGTGTTGTTGTGTAGCACAGTCTGTAAGAAGCACAGCGAATGACTGTCACTAAGATGCCATCTACGGTACTATGTGATGTTATCATTGCCATGGCTGTTTTAGAAGTCCTATGGATAACGTGTGAAAATAATACAGCCATTTTTAGTGTAGGAGGTTGTAAAAGCTCTACTTAAAGAATAACACAAAATGACTGAGTCAAGTTTTCCTCCCACTCTAACCGCAGCAGATAATTTTCACTTATGGATAAAATTTTGCAGTCACTAGAGATCCAAGTCTTGTATTCTTTGATTCTCAATGCTGACCAATCAACTTTTGTTTCCCCCTTTCTTTTGGCTACGGATCCTTTCCCACTTTCATTTCGATTACAAATTCAAGCCCGTCAAATCCGACACGTCAGCTGCAGTTTCCAAGGCTCCACTCCGTCTGCCCCCTCTTCAGTCAATCTGGCCTCCACCATCACTACAGAAACCGGCCATCTGCTGTGGGTCCCACGGAGTCCCTACTACTACAATGCCTGCGCATTTAGCCATCTGGTCACCCATCCTCCCCATCTTCACTGAGAAGTCAAGTTTTCTTCTGTCACGAATTAAATTATCTCTGTTCTGGGTTCCATCTTCTTCAATTTCTTCACATACCTTGACGTACTCATTTTCTATTTTGTCTTTTGTCATAGCGGATTATGGCAGATTTGTCAAGCATATTGCTGTGGCTTCCACAGCCTCTTACGAGGGAGAGTGACTCACTCATGATCCCTACAAAGGGCAGCTATGCTTTGTACTGTGTGTACTCCACCTGATTACAGATCAGCAGAGGAGTAGGTCCCTCGAGAGACAGCCAGTTTACACATTGACCAGAGAATTAAGACATGGCTTGACATAAAAACATAGTTTCTCATCCAACTAAATCCCACTACTGTAGGAATTAACAATCTACTATGAGACACGGGGAGATTTTTATTATTCAATAAGCTACATAATTTTCTCTGTGAACAATTTGTGGAAGAGGCATTTACTTACTGCTCTGTGGAAATGAATACATACTACACAATTTCTGGAGAGCTCAGTGCAGGATAAACATCAAACATGAAAACTAATAAAACACAATTTACAGCACCCACTTATGTGGGTTATAAGTATCTGTCATTAACCCCACAGTGTAGGTTCTAAGATTCCGAAGTTTTCAGATAAGGAAACAAAAGCTCGGAGAGTTTACATAACTTATCAAAGTCCTCAGTTAGTGAGTCACAGAGTTTGGGCTCTGTTTCCAGATCAATGTCCTCAGTTAGTGAGTCATGGAGTTTGGGCTTTGTTTCCAGACCTTGTGGGTTCTTTGTCCTCTTTAGAAGATATCTAGGCTTTCCTTTTTCAAAACATGTCATGGCTCAGCTTAATCCTTGTCAGAGTAACATGACGTCGAAAAGATAGGGACTGGCTTTACCTAAGATTATAAAACAGAATAAACTTAACAGAAAATCAGGAGGGAAATAATACTCAGCTAGGGGCAAATTTAATGTTTATAAGTCATTTGAGTATATCCTAGGCTCTGTATGTAGTTCTAACAGGGTCACGATAGACTCATTAACCAGGAAGAGGTAGCTTGGTAGCAACTGAGGATGCAGGAGCACGCCAATAGATCATTTCTTTCCAAGGTGATCATTAGTAAACACGTGTGTTAGACAAACTATAGTTCTATCTGGAATAAGCATTTGCTGAATGAACCTCAAGCAATATCTGACAGATTAATATCCTAAATGTACAAAGGCCTCAAAAAACTAAACAAGAAAATAATTTAGTCCAAAAAAATTGGCTAAGATACTCTATGGCTCTTGTGAGGAGCATCGTCAGCCCAAGTGGTAAAGCTTCATTTAAGGTATTTGTGTGTGTACGTGTATTAGATGTAATTTTATATAAGTAGGAAACAATGCTTTCTGAAGACTTTAACACATCACTAGTGGTACTTGTTCCTTATTTGGCCCTCTTCGTCTGTACTGACCTCCCTATCCTTCTCTATGGAAGAAGCCCCCTCTCCAGATTTCCGCATTCCCCCCTTCGGATTACCTATATCCTGCCACAATCATCCCCACTACCAGGCCTGGGGAATCTCCATTTGAGCTGTTTGTCAGGACACTCCAAGTGACCTCCAGAACAATACAGGCCATTGCTGTTGTCTTTGGTTGCCTCTCAGAGGTTGCAGTTAAGTCCCTACAGCTGAAGGCTCTACACACTTTGGAGATGGGACCCAGAAGATTGAGTCTGAGTAGCTGCCAGAGGACAGAAAATACTATTTATGATGCCAAGGGAGGAATGCAATCAACATTGCTACCCAGATGTGATGCCTAGGAACCACAGCATTGTCCAGCCTGGCAAGATATCCCTAATGATGGAAGACTGGTTCTCATATCTTGCTGGTAACCCTGGCTGTCTAACTGGGAGTAAGGCCCACTCAACAAGAGAGAAATAAGATCTGGTACTAGAAATCTTGCCAAATACCTGGGGCTGGTGAGGTCATGGATCTGAAGGAGAACCCACTACCATCACTGTACTAGACCAGCATAATTCCTAACTGCATTCTAACACTTAAGCCCATAGAGAAAATGTCGCTTTTGACCCTCCAGCAAAAGAAGTTTCTCTTGCAGCAAACAGAGAACATTTCAGAAAGCAACGCTGTGGTCATAACGCTGTGATCATGGGGAGTCCCAAAGGATACATCTACAACAAAACCTCAGAAAACGTTGCAGAAGAGGTGGGCAGAAAGACTGTAAAAGTCAGGTGACCAGGAAGTCTGCTGTGAGATTGTATCTCCTAGAAATGACAGGGGAGGTACAGCCATGGACACCTCAACAACATGGCTGCCTACAAAAGATCTGAACAATGACATCACCTATAAACATCCTATCACGGACAAAGGAAGGAAATCATGGGTCACCACCCCTAAACAAAGAACTCCAGACATTAATGACTGCTGAGAGAGAAGACTCAATCTCTCTTTGGTATGAGCGCCCTAATTTCTTACCCAGTACAAAATGGTCAGCCCTGAAATCCCATATACATAAGCAACACTAATGGGACTTGGTAGGTTGTGTTTATATATTTATGTTTATGCATATATGTGTTTGTGCATATATAAGAATAACCAAAGAAAAGGAGGCCATTAGCTTGAGAGGGTCTTGTAAGAGACATGGAAGGATTTGGGGGGAGAAAAGGGGAAGAGATGTAACTGTATTTTAATTAAAAATGAAAAAAGTAAGCCAGGTAGTGGTGGCGCATGCCTTTAATCCCAGCACTTGGGAGGCAGAGGCAGGAAGATCTCTGTGAGTTTGAGGGCAGCCTGGTCTACAGAGTGAGTTCCAGGACAGCTAAGGCTACACGGAGAAACCCTGTCTCAAAGGAGAGGGGAGTAATAAGGAAAAAAAAGGCCAAGAAAATGGATAAAATTCTCAAAAGAAGAAAAACAAATGGCCTATGTGGATTTTTAAAAGTCTTCAATCCTTTGTGACCAGAGAATGCAAATTAAACTACTTTGAGATTCCATCTCTGTCCATCAGAATAACTACCACCAATAAAATACTTGACAACTAATGCTGGAAAGGGTGAAGGAAAAGAGGAACCTGTGTTAGGGTTGGTTGGAGTGTAAAGAGCTGTAGCTACTATGTAAGTCAGCGTTTCCCAAAAGGCTGCAAAACAGAGTTTCTGTACATCCCAGCTTTGTCATTCAGATACACACCCAAGGGGTCTACATGCCACCACAGAGATGCTTGCTCAGCTATGCCACTCAATACACACCCAAGGGGTCTACATCTTACTACAGAGATGCTTGGTCAGCCATACTTACTCTAGCTCTATTCACAACTAGAAAATGAAATCAACCTAAATGTCCATCAATGAATGAATAATCAAAATAAATATTCTGCATTATATAATACATATACTGATATATATGTATGTATGTATGTATTTATATCATACATACATATGGAATTTTACTCAGCCATACAGAAAAATGAAACTTTTAGCAAACCAATAAAACCGGGCAATACTGAGGTAGCCCAGACTTAGAAAAGCTAACACCCTATGCTTGCTCTCATTTTTAGACTTTAGCTTTTGGTGTATATCTGTGTGAGTATGTGTAGACACTGGGAGACTAAAAGGGGGCCCATGAGGAGCAGAGGAAGCTTTACTAAGGGTGAGGGGTCGGCAAAGTACTAGGAGAGATCTAGAAAGGAAGGAGGAATACTGGAGAAAAGTCTAAGTGGAGGTTTTGAGCTGGGAGATGGAGAAAGACAGGACTACAGACAAAACTAAGTACGTGTGAAAATGCTACAAGGAAACCTATGACTCTGAAAACAATAAAATTACAGCAATTGAAAAAATGTGTCATATTTAAAACAAATGAACAACCAAACAAGCACCTTAGACTATAAAGTGTAAGGCTTAAAACTCAGTAAGCACTAATTTAAGTAACCTTCTAAGAAAAAAATAAGACTGACCATGAATTTTTAGTCTCTTGAAAGTCTACAAAATGACATGTCACAAAGAGCACACTTGTCTCAGAATTCTTGCACAGCACGTCTTAAATTTTCAGCATTCAAGTTGGAATCTACTCTTGATTTTGTGGCATTTCCTTCTTGTTAGAACTAGAGAGGAGATACTTCACTGAAAGATTAAAGATGGTGGCGGTGTCTTTAAGGGAAAGCATCATTTGCAAACTGTGGTCCAAGTTTCTTATGTTGGGATCATCACATGGTTTTACCGCTTCTTTCCTCGACTGGCATATATACTGGGGCTCTGGTAGGAAAACTAAGGTATTTAGATGTCATAACTTTCGAGTCCAAGTCTAACAGCCTAACAGACACTCAACTGTTGGGACTGGAGAGGTGGCTCAGTGGCTGAGTGCTTACTGCTTTGGAAGAGGACCCGGGTTAAGTTCCCAATACGCACAGGAGAGCTCATAACCGCCTATAACTTCAGGTCCAGGGGGTTCCAATGCCTCATTCCAGCCTCCATGAGCTTCTGCACACACATGGCTGCACATAAAGTCATGTCCTGCTGGTTCACACATTAGACATTAAGAACATCTTTAGAACTCAAGTGCTGGTTTGTGTATCTAACCACATGGGAGAAATGTGGGTGTTTCCTCCATACAGCAGGTGAGCTCATACTTAATAATGGGGTGCATCTGTTAGGCCATGACTCAGTGTACCCAAATTATAAGGACGGCTGTTTCTACTCTCTAAAGGACCTTTGGAATCGACAAACATACAATTTTGAGGTGTTGTGTCAGCTCTAGCCTGATCGAAATCATACTAGAGGCCCGGGATTTCAATTTCTGGAGAAATAAGTCCCTGTTCAAATTCATGCTTCTGATGTGTCCTCCTTATTTTCAAATTCTAATAAGAAGGCGGGGGTTGGGGGTGTGTGCTTCGGGAGGTATCCTGCAAGCAAAGGCCAGAGACGTCCTTTGTCGGGTGGCCTTGAGACTGAAGATTCAGAGGCCACATTTTGAAAACACAGAGTAAAGGACGAGACAAAAGCCATCTAATAAGGATCCTCTTTTGACAGAACCGGCATTGAGACTGGATGTGGGCTCCTTTGGCACAACCATAAAACCTAAGCAGCCCAGGAATCTTTGACGTCGGCTCCTGAGGCGCCAAGCTGCCGGACAGACGCCCACACCGCGGGGTCAGGTGACGCCGGTTCCACCTGCGCCCGGTGTCGCACGCTCCTCGGGATTTTCCACCGCTCCATCTGCCCACATTCACCGCGGCTCCCCTCGATC